AGCTCAGCCACTCCCGGCAGCCTGAGAGCTGGGTGGCTGCATGCTTCTGTGGCAGCTCTGTCTGCATTGCCACACGCCTTCTGGTGAGCACAGAGCTTAGGGCTTTCTGCCTGGTGGGCGCCATGGCTGAACTCTCTCCATGAGAGAGTGATGACCACCAGTGGACTCTCCTCTTGAGAGTACTTCAGTGAAGGGGACACACATGAAGAACATGACGGTAAAAATTGCATATACAGTAAAGAAATATGAACAAGGCAGGCCTTATGCAATATGTAGAATTGCATGATGCATTTGATATTGTGTTTCTGTGATTAAAAAAATCAAGGGTTGCATAAGATCATATGATAGGACTTCAATGTTTTCAGAAGCCAGGATTTATTTCTGCCATTCTATAATCCACACAAGTAGTAGGAAATAAGATTTAGAATAGAAGACCATCCAAAGATTGATGGTATTTTTTTCTTGGACAAGAGTACAACAAGGATGTATCAATGACATTTTTAATTTTATTAAAATGAGCTTTAGAATTTTCATGATTTGGTAAAGCAGAGTGATAGCCCAACTGAACCTGATTAAAAGTGTATGATTTACTACTAAAAATGCTTGCAAAGTTTTTTAAAGAAAGGTTATGCTACTCAGCAGTGAGGTAGATCTGTTGTGGTGTTATCTGTATTAGTGTAAAGTCTAGAATCCCTGAGAGTGGTGTATCCTAAGAAGATAGGGTGTCTGCATATATACGTTATGTGTACTCCTTCTCCAAAGTGCCTATAAACCAGAAAATTTTAAGTAAACTTACGTAGATTCTGAGTCAGATTCTGCACCATCTATAGTATTACTACTACTGCCATACATATAATACGTTCTTGAGCATTTGACCTGCAAGACTGGTGGAGCTAGTAGAGAGTAGGACAGTGTCACTTCATTTGCGTTCCAAGTGCCATAATGCATATGAATTGATTGATTTCCTTGCAGTCAGAAGGGTAAGGATGTGTCCTCCTAGTTACAGTTAAGTGGTGTATTCCACTAGCACTGAGGACGGTTATGAAAATGTGTATTTTCCTCTTGAAATAGGGAAGCAGTCCTTGACACATCTTCCGAAAACTGAACGAATTAAAATAGTAAAATATTTCCTGAAAATTCTGTAGTAGAAGTAGATACTATAAAACTTACTGAAATATGGACTTAATTTTCTGATTTATGGTACTTCCTCTAAATCAGCTTATCCTTAAAAAAATAAAAAAAAAAGTCTTATGTGGTTTAAAGCATTTCTGAGTTCTTGTAGATGTGAGGCAAATCTACTTTCCTACAGTACCATCTCTGCTTATGAAACATAAAAAGTAGGAGTACAACAAATAAATCTTTCTGATTTTGTCTGATCATTTTTTTCATCCTTCTGTCAAGGTAGCAGGTTATGGAATGGTTCTAGCTTTTTCTAATCCTTTAGCCTTCTTTTAAGAGGATTGTTAAAGTTGCAAAGTGACAAACTTATCTAATGCAGATAAGCCTAGTCTGTGGTAGGGAACTATAGTTTATGACATCTAACGGGCAAACAGAAGATAAGCAGGAAGGGATTTTGTTGTGTGTCTAGAATGTGTAAGCAGGCATAAGTTATTCAGGTAAGATTATTGTATGATGAAGCCTTTCCTCTGAGTTAGAAGTCCAATAAATCTTTCTCTAGGTTTAACGTTTCTGTTTTAAATGATTTGAAGGATTTTCAACACTTAGGGCAAAAGCCTTCAAGCTAACTAGTAATGTGGACATTATAGGAAGAAAATTACTTGTAGTTCTACTGGCAAAGCTTAATATCCAAAACATTTTTTGTAGGGTTATTAGTGTTTATAAATCTGCATAAAATATGTTTTTACAGGTTTGGGAGTTTTTTTGAACTGTGTTTATATGAGAGAATCCTGGGATCATCTAATGATCTGTTAAATAACATCTTAATTTGTTTAATTTGCCAGGTAAAATCCTTAATGATGATACTGCTCTTAAAGAATACAAAATAGATGAAAAGAACTTTGTGGTGGTTATGGTGACAAAAGTGAGTAGCCCTTATTTTTTAAAAGGAAATTCCATTCATTTCATTCTTTTTTTCATTGTGATGAGTGACTGTGTATGTCTACCTGTAAAACCAGTGGAATTTGATTATGTGCAAGTTTTGGTCAACAGTAAAAATAAATGCTTGTTTGAACAGATACAAAATACTGCTTCACAGGCCTAGTTTGCCTGTGCTGATTGTTGCTGCTGTTCTGTGTATTTACATAAAAGACAAAAATTGTCAGTGGCTGATTTTACTGTTTCTTCTTTCTTGCCTCTCTGCATTATTTTTCCAGTGATATTGTTAAAAGGAAGAAGGGAACCTAGATAGTCTGTTACTAAATCCTCTGTGCAGAACTCTTCCAGTCTTGCCATGTTGCTTTTCAAAGCTCATGGCTGTTTCTTTTGTCAAGCTCAACAGCTTAAACCAGTAGAGAGAGGGGATATATGCCAGTAAACAAACCTGTGAGTTTTGAATGACTGCAATGGCAAATTAAAGGGAATGACTGACACACGTATTTGAAGTATCTCTCCTGTTAAACAATTGCCAGATTGCTTCTGGGAATCAAGCCACAGATTTTCTAGGCATTCCAGATGCCTGGGATCTGAATAAAACTGGCTTCATCTCTGTCTTGAGATACAACGTTAATTTTGGAGTTAGAGGTCCTCCTTTTGACAAAGAAAACATATATTCGTTTGCCTTTCACGTGTATCTGGTATTGGTTCATTAGATTCTCTGTTTGAACATAACTGTTATTGCTGTCTTCCTGAACAAACAAGTGTTCTAGTCTGTGGTTTGCTTGCAGAAGAGGCATCTATCAGTACAAGAAAACAGGTGCAGATAGGATTTCAGCGATCAGCTTTCATTTTTATGTGAGAAGAAACATAGATGTCCATGAAGAACTGCTAAATGCAATACCTTTTTATATTAAAGGACCTGTGTTTCTGAGTTGGGCATTTTTTCAGTGTTATGGTCTTTTTGCTAAGTCTTTAAGCTTAGTTACCTTTCCTTGATTCTTTTCTGGATAAGACATACCCTGTCATGTAAGCATAACCACTAACTTTGATGCTCAGACATGTTTCAGTATTTTTCTTTGAATGCTTCTTAAAATGTTCTTTATTGTGTCCATCATGTTGGAAACTATTCATTCTCAACCTCTCTTTTCAGTCAAAAGGAGGAAATACATTTTTTCCTAGTTTAAGCAAACATTGTCTGAAAGTGATTCACCTTGAAAAAGTAGTTGTGTTTTGGTAAAGTTCAACTATTTTTCTTGGCAAGCCAGAGATGAGGGTCAGCCTTGTCAGTCCTTAAGGATATTTGTCGGTAAGGCACTACATTGATAAAGCTTTCAAAAATGTGATTCCGAACCTTAGAAGTCACATGCATTCTGAAAAGTGTTATTTCTATATAATGGGATTAATACTGCATCCAAGCAAAATTCATGTTTCCAATATGCAAGTATTACCCACTCTAAATTTCTTGCTGTAGAGTTGGTAGTCCTTGAGTCTGCTGGATTTTTGGTGCTTACTACTGAATTCAAGTACGCGAAGTGTTATTTATGTAGTGCTTTGAATGTAAAGAGTGCATAAGTAAAACTTGTTGTAAGTTAAGTTTAAATTTTTCAGCATCTCATTTGCCAGCAAATAGCATTCATAATGAATTGTGATTTATGTCCGTATCACTTTTTTCCAAATTTGAGTGGCGAGAAAACCTTATGCTTGTTACACTTCTCAGATGTCTTTTGACAACTGTTTTAGTTTCTTCTGAAAAGTATGCTTTTGTAAAGCACAACATTGTTTTCACATTTAGAGTATTGTGGTCTATAAATACTATATCTTATTTTTGCATTTCACTTCATACTCAGTGTGACTGCTTAGGTGTCTAAGTAAGTACTTCAGTACTCTCAGGTGCCTGTTTAAACACAATAAAAGGCATTATAGATTTAATGTCTTACAGTTTAATGTCTTAATGTTATGCCTGATATTGAGGCAGCAATGTCAAACAGAAATTAATCAAGAACTTAACAGAACTTAATCAGTGAGTGTAGGAGCTTTGTGCTGTGTCTGAATTCTGTTGTCCTCCTATAGCCCAAAGCAGCAGCTGGAACATCTGAGCAGTCAAATGCCACTACTGCTATTAGCTCGACAACTGCAGCTCCTGCAACTCCCACACCAGTCACTGTACCAATCCCTGCTGCTGCCCCTCTGCCAGCTCCTATCCCTCCACCATCAGCACCAGATGCAGTTACTTATGAATCTGCACCTGTGAGTGCTCCTAAAGAAGAGAAGCCAGCAGAAAAACCACCTGAGGTACCCGCTGCTGTCAACCTATCATCAACTGACAGGTATGAATGAGCCTCCAAAAATGGCTTCCCTGTCCATTTCTGTTGCTTCTAGTTTTGATTTTAAGTTGAATTTTCCATTACAGTGTTAGTCCAATCATTTTCTCTGTTCTACATAATATCTTGTCTTTCTTAACTGTAACTTCAGTCTCTGGCTCAAGTGTAACATTACTGATGGTAAGAAATGCCCCACCCTGCTTACACCTTCTGTGGGAAGTGGGATATTGGGACTAAACCTATAGAGTCAAGAGTTAAATGACACAGGACTTGTGCTCCAGTTAGGCATTTCACAGTTACTGTGGCACAGGTTTCTTTTCACAAAGTGAAACGAGTGAGGATATTCACCTGCCTGGCGATCTACTGTTCATAAAGCTCTTAAAGACTTTGGAGCGATGTGTCATGTCCTGTTCAGAGACCTCTGATTGTATTTTGAAACATGGTGGTTAGATTTGAACCATAAGTTCTTTATTGCTGTAAGAGTCTCTTAATTTCTGAAAAGAGCTTTTTCTTCCGAAGTGTAGGTTATAGTATTTCTTTTAATCATGCTCATTTGTCTTGGCCCTTTGAATGCTCCTTGGCTCATCTGTAAGTAGTTCTGGGAGTTGAGAGAGCTTTTAGCCTCAATTCGCTACATTTAAGAAAATCAAATGGAAGTTAGAGGTTTCATGCCCATTGTATACTGTGGCCTTTTTTTGCTCACTTTAAGTTGCTGAAGTATTGCATGAGATAAAAATGTTAACTGTAATTTAATGGCCCTTTAAGTGCTGCATACCATGAAGCCTTCATTTTTCATACACTGGTTTTCAATTGTTTGTGTGCTATTTATGTGAATACTGGAGCACAAGACATTAATTTTTGAAGGGGTTGTATTTAAGCACCATCAAATATTGATTTGATGATAAGGAAACAAAACTGGCAATTGCCTAGTATCTTGGAAATGTCATCACAAATTTCTTGCACTAAATACCCTAACTGATGATTTAATTTTGCAATTCTGAGAAATGGACATCTTTTTAATGGAATACAAATTAAGCTTCATTTATCAGTTGAGTAACTTACAATTTTTTTATGTTAATGGGTGGGGGGTTTTTGCTGCTCAGTTGTCAGGAGGTTCAAAGATTAGGTTAAATCTTTGATATTGAAACAGTGCTTTCCAGGTTTTCCAGATTGTAGTGTTGTAAAACTGCAGTAAGGGAGCCTCAATGTATGTACTTAACAGCAAGAGAATCATTTCACAAATACATTGTAGTTATCATCTGCCTTGATTTCGGTGAGTACTGCTTGTTTCTGATTTGCTTTAGAAGTTAAATTGCTAAGGCTGGTGAAGATTTATTGAGCCATGGCCAGGCAAGCTGGTGTCCTGTTTTGGCTTTGATCTTTTTCGGTTGTAAATCTTACTAGTGATAGACACTAGTGAGGCATTCTTGTTGGAACAAATTTTTTCTTGCATAAAAAATACATCTCTGTAAATGCCTTGTCAGATTTTTAATGGCATCTTCTGAAAACTGATTCAGATTTATCTGATGATCTTTCACTTGGTGATAGGAGTTGCCGACTCTGGTAGCCTGACAGATGTGAGGCTGCTTCAGTTGCGTGTCCCCAGGTCTATCAAGTATCAAGACTGAACATGTATTCCCAGTACATACACACAATATGTATATACCTGTATGTATGGCTGGCCACATAGGTCAACACAGGCAGAAAAAAACAGCACTGAAGTAACCACACAGCACCAGCAGTGGCATCCTCTTCCCTTTTGCCCCCTTCAGGGCAAAGTCCATTAATGCAAAATACATATGTACAAACATACAAATGAACAATATGAATTTCTCCAGTAGATGGCTGTAGACGGTGTATTCCAGTAGCTAGCCCCTAGATCTCCCAGTCTCCCCAAGTTTTGGTGCACATGACTGCCTGAGCCCTGCAACCCTGCTCCAGTTGCTGATACTCGGATTCTCTTTGCACACATACGCACAGGTGCGCGCGCTCACACACGCAGAGGATCCATCCAGGAACTCGCTGTAGACATGCACTGAACATGGTAGCTAGTCCCTAGATCCCCATGTCTCCTAGTTGCCTCATTCATGGACACACGAGCACGTCTCTCCACTAGCTGCTTGAGACCTATGACCTTACTAGTAGCTGACCCCCAGGCATTACTATCTTACCAGCAGCTCCTTTCTCAGACCCTCCAGTCTCTCCAGCAGCTGGCTCTGACTTGCAGCCATTCAATACCTGGCTCTCAAGCCGCTTACCCTACTCACTATAGTCAAGTTTGATGCCTGCTGGTGATTGCACACATACCAGTGCATGCATCCACACAGGATATGTGTGCTCTCTAGTCTCTTTGGTTGGCCCATCCATGTAACACCCCAGGCACCTGGACCCTTGTGGCCCCTTCTCCAGTTGCTGGCACTGAGACTTGCTAAGTGTCTAGTCTCTGCAGTTGCTGGCTCCACAAATGTTTGGATCCCTGTGACTCATAGTTCCCTGTTGAGTTATGGGCACTTCCATGCGCGCACACACATGTAGAATAGAGAGACCCTCCCGGCATGAAAAATAGTTAGAAATGGAATTTAATTAGAAGGCAGGATGGACTGGTGATCAGGTGCAGGGCATGGCCAGGCAAGTGCTGTTTACATGTGACTGGCCTTTTTTCTCCTCTTTTCACTCTCTATACCCTTCCTTTTAATCTGTAGGGTGCTGTGATGCTTCCCTTTCCCTGCCTTTGGTTCTTCCCATAGATACCCCATAATAAGTCTTGCACAATCCCCAGATGCTTTTTCCTGCACTCCATGGTGATTCGCACCATCCTGTAGTCAGTAATACCTTTATCTGTAAGGAGACCTGGAGACCCTCTCCTGTTGACCCGTCAGGGGTGTCACCCCAAGACCAAGGGGCTGATGCTTTAAGTTGCAGCCCTTGGAGAAGCCAGGAAAGGGGCACCCTTGGCTCTGACTGAGTTAACTGGTGCTCCTCTGCCTGGTGTTGTGCCTCTGTGTTCCTTGGTGTTCATGGAGGTGAGCCTTTAACCCTATCATTTAACAGCTTTGATAATTTGAGATGAAGGTTGCAAATGTTAGCAGTTTACATTCCTAGGAAAGTAGGATGCTGAGGTTTTAATAAGTGTTTGTCACTGACCTCCTTGGGTCCTTATTGAGGTCAAACCAGTGACTATGGGGAAGCAGTTAGTGAGACTGCTGTGTGCTTTTGAAAATCCACCTTGTTTTCCCATCCTTTAAAGCCTTCAAGCAAGCACATGGCTAATCCCTGAGCAGACGGGCAAGAGCCAAACTATTGGGGGGTAGGGGGGAACGTTGGCCTTTAAGTGTTAAAAATGGTAGCCTTGTAAGTTTATAAAATCTGGTCTCACTATAAGACCAAGAGAGAGTTCTTTGGAAAGCTTTGTTGGTTTTTTAGAAACAAAAGGGGCTATAAGAGTTACAGCTGCTGCTGCTTTTTTTTGAAAAACAGGAAGTTTTCCAAAGTTTTGTAATTACCATTGCACTTGTCTTCATCTTACAGTACAACAGGTGATACATCTCGATCAAATCTTTTTGAGGATGCTATAAGTGCACTTGGTAAGTGGAGTGTTTTTTTAATGTAGACATTATTTTGATGCAGCAGAAACAAATGACGGATTGGCAGATGTTGACATTCTCTTCTGTATCTGTCATTGTTAAAGTTATAATCAAAGTACTCTTCTCTAAGACCTGAAGGTATCTGAGAACCAGCATCAAGAACATCTCTACTGAAGAATATTTCACTTCATATATTTTTATTGTGTAAAAAGAAGATCCTTATCATTCCTGGTTTTTCCCCCATTTGCCTTAATTTCTCTTCTAACTATGCAGTTTGAAGTGGCTTGGCTAGAAGACTGGACATAAATATGTGTACGCTTTTCTCTTCACCTTTGCTTCCCAGTGTGCAGGTCTGATAAAAAGGCAGCCTTTATTATTCACTTGTTCCAGCTTTGACAGTACTGTCTTTTGACACATTTAGATTACATGAATTCACCAAATCTGCTATCATCTGGGTTGAGGAGTGAATGCCTCCGTATACTCACAGTCAATTAATTTTTCTTTTGATGTCTTTATTTCTCAGTGGAATAAACAGGGTAAAACCAGCAGAAAGTTCTGCCCCTCATTTATGCTGATTAGTATAGGAAATGACTATGGCAAACCCACAAGTCCTTACTCCTACTTAAATTTTTTGGAGGGGATTTCACTTACATTTTTGTGTAGAGGTGTGTGGATGTATTGGAGGCAGACCTTGTGATTAAGCAGCCCAAGGTGATTTAGTGTAATAGTAACATTTTACCTGTATTGGTGGTAGTCCCAGGTTTAGTCTGTCTAACTGCAGCTTAGGTCTTATGTTATGACATGTAGTTTTAGGCTGAAGAAATGTATGAGCTGAAATAATTGATAGATACTGTAGGAGACAACCAGTCAAGTTCTGTTAGATTTTTAAAGTGACTGCTGCTACCAAAGATGCTGCAGACTTCATTAACTATTATACTTTAGTGGACAAGACTTGTCATCACAAATACTCATGTTAACAGTAATGACCATCAGGTTTGTTTAAGCTGGTGGTCTTGATTCAGTTATCTTCAGAATTGAAGAAAAAAAAAATCTAAAAATCTCCTTTCAATGTAGCAGGAAAGCATCACCTCACTATCCATTTTATATGAAGGTTCTTTGATTGGTATCCATTACAGTAAACCCATGTGTCCCTAAAGTTTGGAAATAACAGGCATTGAGTGTAATTTCCTGGATAAGCATACTGCAAGGGTTATATGCCAAAAAATTTTCAAGGCCGTAGGCATGAACTGTGGTTCTTTTTCTTTAGAGACTACCTTAAAAGGAATTTGCTTGCACAAATTCATGAAGTATATTTTTACATCCTGAGTAGGATCTTAGCCATGTTCTTACTGTGGCTTCTCAATTACATTGTCTGAAGATAATTGACTTTAAAAACGGGGATTGGTTTCTACTGAATTGCTTTTGTTTTCAGTTAGATAATGCTGACTGAAAACTGGTGTGGCTTTGTGTGCTACATGCAGTTCCTGTGCAACCAAAGCTTTCACTGGAACAGCCTAACCTTTCTTTAGGGCATGGCACAAGAATTGTTGTGGGGAGTGCGATGAACTAGATTTGAAAGTTAATCCAGCTTTGAAATGTTACTTGAAAGACAAAACCAAAGAGCAGAATCAGTTCAGCATTGACCTCACAAACATTCCCAGTAGCACTATGTTGCAATAGGCCTGACTCTATATCATGACATTGCTGGTGTGCAATTCCTCAATTATTATTCTTGGCCTTGCTTTTGCATGACTTGTGTAAGTAGACTGTATATGGAGTCCATGTACCTAAATTTGCAGTAATTCTATTTCCTTCTTTTGCTTTTAGTTATGGCTTATGTAGCTGTCTGTCCAGAGCAAGTTGACCTTCTTGCATCTTTTTTTTTAATGTACTGAATCTGTCGTACTTTTCTAACCTCCACCTAGCTCATACTGAAAGAGCACTGCAGAAATGTTTAAATAGTAAATAATTAGATCAAAAGGAATTCTGTCTTCTGTTTACCTTGATTAGTTTGTTAGCAATAGTAAGGGTAAACTAGTGTTGTGTAAGAAAACACGAGCAGTAAGTTTATCAAAATCACTGTGTTGGGACAACTGTTGGCTTGGCTTTTTTGCTTCTCTGAAGATATATACAGAAATATCTGTCTTTAGAGTGAAGCTTAGGTGGGTTTTTTTAATATGTTTGAAAAAATGAAGGTAGATGTAAAATGATTGATCTTGTACTTTTATATGAAGATGTGAACTTACCATTCCTTAAACTTGAGTTGGCACTAATATTTTGAAGTCTGAACAATAAATACTCAAATTAGTCAAGGATTGTAAATCCATTATTTATCTTTATGGATAATGCACAAGTATCCTTGGGCTAGGGCTATTTTATTATTTTTTTCTTGAGCATATTGCCCCCAGTCGTACATCCACTGATTATTTAGAAGCATTCTTTAAAAATCAAGCAATGTGGTTGCATTAATATTGGCTTGAGTTAAACACCTTCTCCCTAAGGGAATAGAACTCGATATTTTCTTTGGTTCTTTTTAATTGTAACTTACTTGTCTTAACAGAGTAGCTCTAGCAGTGTTTGTTTCCTCTACTTTTTTTAATCTTCTGGGGTTTTATGGTGACTATTAATTGCTTAACTCTCCTGCCACTAACTTGCTAGTGTTACAGAGTCAATAGTAGGATTCCACTGAGATCAGGAATACCTTTATCCAACGAACGAAGTGATATTTTAATGCCTGGGTTTGGGTTGGGTTTTTTTCTCATTTTGCATGGAAGGTAACCTTTAAGATGTTGCTTAATTACAATTTATAAAAGAATAGTTATTTTTTTGAATTTTTAAACCTGCTGTCTGCTTTTAAGGAAGGGAAATAAAATGGATTATGAAAAGAGATAATATTTTTCCCTACGATACCATTAGTGTAGTGATCAGTTGTCTTTAAATTGCTCCATATATAGTGTGTGTAGCCTTTTGCCTTGATGGCTGCAGGAGTGGGCCATTTTTTGTCCATTTATGCTATAAGAGGTGGGGGGGTTTGATGTGATGCATGTCTACTCAAATATACATGAATTAAATGAAATAACTTGTTCTCCTGAACCCTGATTGAGGTCTTCAGTGGCTTTCCTAGGTATAACTTTAAGTCTTCTGCCTGATTTGAGTTGATCCGTGTTAAGTTGATTAAATTATTTTAATCATCATCACCAGCATGTAGCAGTATACAGTTGTATCTTGGTCAGCCCTATTTGTTATCTGTCTAACCATAGCACAATGTAACGTCTTTATTTGGAAAAAACTCAATGTCTAGCAGTTTGACAGGCAGATTTCTGCCTAGGAAGTTTAATTTCCAAACTTACACTGCAAGAGGCTTATCTTGATTGCATCGGGAATTGAACATAAGCTGTGAAGATGCCCTTGACCTTAGCTGAAAGCATAGAGGGGGAATATTATTTCAATTACGAGTACAGAAGTTTCACAAGTGCTGGTTTTTTCAATAGAAGTTTGCATTGTGTTCACTACTCTGTACTATTACAATCAAATGCATAATGAAACTGCCAGAACATATTTGGAGTTAAAGCAACAGAACCACGGCAAGTTTAATATAAGCCATTATTTAGTTTTCAGTGATCGGCTCAAATTTGGGTAGAAATATAATTTATCCATTGAAACTTTTTTGTGCCTTCTTCCCTTAAAGTGATGGTCATGTTACTTCTAGTGACAGGTCAGTCCTATGAGAATATGGTGACTGAGATCATGTCAATGGGCTATGAACGAGAACAAGTAATTGCGGCACTGAGAGCCAGCTTCAACAATCCTGACAGAGCGGTGGAATACCTTTTAATGGTGAGCAGTTTCTTTTACTTACACTCTGTTCTTTCACTTTTGATTTTGTCCTCACTAAAGAATAATTTTAACTTTGATTTACTTCTTATTTTGAATATTTATCCAATCAGTGAGAGTAATACATGTTGACAGATGAACAATATGTCTAAGCAGAGCATCTGAAAGGCTAAGATTCAGACTGAGGGTCATAATGTGTTACAGGGAATACTGAAGGCATCCCTAACTAACTCTATCACTTCTTTGCTTTTATTCATTGTTGATTTGTATGGATATATATGTAAAGTATGTCCAGTTACAGTGATAGTTATAACTGCCAATGGCTGGCCCAAGGAATGATTTTGTGTCACATCTTAGTGACAGCATTAGCTGTATGTTTGTACTAGTATCTATAACATCACAAAGACATTTTTAAAAGTTCCAGTTCATCATTTTTATTAATAATGCAGAGTGTTCTTAATAATTTACTTTCCAAACAGAAAGGTTTGATAGTTTTTTTAAGTGTGCTTAGTTTAACTGTTGTTTTAATATAAGCAGTGGTTTGGAGATTTCTCATTTGGTAATTATAGTTTGAAGGGTGAAACGAACTTCACTGGAGTGAGAGGAAATAGAGGAGTAGCTTCACTTTAATGGAAATCTTGTGAGTTGTTTTAGGGGCTTTTTGAATTACTTCTCATGGTATACCTTAATCTGACAGGTGAATTGTGATGACCAGAGAATCTGTCTGGGAGCTTGTTGCTTAATCAGTATTTCCGGTACCTTAGTTTTCACTCTAGCATAGCATTTTTTCACTGATGTGGTTTTTCTTTGTTCCAAATCTGAACCTTATTAAAATCTTGAAGCCAGATATCTTGAACCAGTCCTTGCAAAATATATGCGGAATGAATTCCTGATAGGTTGGTAAGAAAACTGGCATCTTTACCTCCAGTTATAAAACTTATCTGTTGTTAATGAAATTTTTCTTTAGTAGTTACAACTACAAGTCACTGGTGTGCTCGCTACTTATATTCATGATCCCAAGACATTGTAACCTGCAGTATTTAAACAGACAACAAATGTTGTGAGTACCTGAATGTAAAAAGTTCAGTTCTCATCTAGTATTAAGCCAACAAAAGGTGAATGCAGTAGCTCCCATCTGTCTGCCATAAGTCTGGAATCTCAAACATATGGAATCTCAAACATTTGTTTTTAATGCCTTAAAAATGTTGATTTTACTATTCATTTAGTCGGTGCATATACCATAAATCCAATGCCTCCTGTAAGCGTTGGGCTTGCCGTGCACATACCAGTCAGGTAACAGCATGCAGTGCTTGTACACTCAGTCTGGTATTTCCCTATTCTAGCTTATTTCTGTTCAGGAAGTCCTGAATAGAAATAGAGCATCCCAATGGTGGAGCTCAACACATGGTGCCTCTGCCAAATAGATTGTCTGACTGATCTGAGCAATTCATTTCTACTCCTTCAGCAGGTCCTAAGTTTAAAATGGGTCCTTCTGGTATATAAACCAGTCTCTTTCTGTTTCATGTTATCCTTTACTGAGAGTGTATTTTCTTTGTTGTTCTTCCTTCTCTTCCTGCTGGAAAGGGGAGTGGGAAGGAGCAGTCTTGCTCTTACAGACCATATTAGCTGGCAGACTTTAATTGTCCTTCTAGAAGAATCCTGTTACTGCAAATGGTCTTTCTAACTGTTCTTGATCTGCTGGGGTCTAAACATGTTCCTTACCATCCTGCTGCATCAAAAAAGCTTTCTCTTTAGTTAATACTGGTCCATGGATGACACTGTTGTTTGACCCTCTCCTTTACCTGACACCAAACCATCATCAGTGTTATCTTTTATATAATCTGCAAGGTAGGATTAGAATGTTGAGAGCTGTAAGTGTATGCTGCTGTCCTGGTTTAAAGAATCAGTACACCAAACGTATCTGTAAAGTGTTGGAAAGAAAATGTCAAATATCTATGCTTAAAGTGTAGCTGTTCCTTAAATGAGCCCTGAAGATTCCTCTTGTTGTATGTGGTTCGGATGACAAAGTGTTCAGTTTTCACAGCTGAGGATCTAGATGTAATCCTATGTCCTTGAGCTGTGGTTATGGAAGGAAGTCTCAATTCCAAAAGACGCTTTTTCTATGCCCCAGACTCATCTTTGGAGGCATTTAGACTCAGATCTCATTTTGACCCAAGGATTTCCTAACCCTTAATTCCTCCAACAACCAGACCATTGGTTGCAGCCTTTTAGTTTGGAAATTTTTAGGAAACATTTCTTTGTCATGAGGGTAGTCAAACACTGACCAGGCTTCCTAGAGAGGTCGTCGATGCCCCATTCCTGTTGCTGTTTGAGACATTTGGGCAATGCCCTTAATAACGTGTTTTAACCTTTGGTCGGCCCTGGAGTGGTCAGGCAGTTGGACTAGATGATCAGTGTAGGTACCTTCCAACTGGAACTGCGCTGTTCTAAATGTGTACATTCCTCGCGCTGGACCTGACGTGATTATTACCCTGTGGAGAACAATGTCAGCTAAAAACCGCTCTGGTGCTAAGTTAAACAGCAAACAATTGTTAAAACCACCATAAGGCAAAAATGGATTTTCTGCTTTCCAAGTAATGTTTACATTCAAAATTAAGTGCATGTGAACTGATAACCATGCTTTATTCTGTTGGATAGCTGTATGAACAAGGTGCATGCACCTCACTTAGTCTTGCCTGATTACAATTGTACACAGTCTCGATTATGTGGAGGGTGATACTTCAAACTTCTATTTAAGAGTTAAGATGATGTTCAAGATGACAAATCATCTCTAAGTAAATTTGGTTGGACTAGTGTCCATAGTGCTTCCATTCAAGAGCAAACTTAAGGTTTAAACAAGCGTATGCTGTTTGATCTAGGCACAGATTGCGGTGACAATATATGCCTGTGAGTAGGTGAAATCAACCAATAATCTCTTAAGATTAACCCAAGTTCCTGCATTATACATACATTGTCAGAAATTACTCATTTGATGGGAAAAGGTATTTAATCAGTGCTCTGTAAGGCACTAAGAGAGAGTTACCTCTTAATTATGTCATGAATGGAATTTTCTTCCCCCTCTGTGGAGGGAGCAATGTGTACAATGTGACAAAGCCATAGAATGTTATTCAAGTGTGTGACAGGAAAACTTGCATTTATTCCTCTGAGTGGCTTAAATGTGGACTTGATGGTTAAGTGATGTATACCTTGATGTGCTTGTTATCTCACAGTGACGTGGTTTAGCCCCAGCCGCTCGCTCACCCCTCCCCCGGCGGGATGGGGAGGAGAACGGAAAAACAACGGCAAAGCCTGGAGGGTTGGGATAAGGGCAGTTTACTGGGACAGCAAGGGAGAGGGAGAACAATCAACAACAGTGCTGATAACAGATAGTAACAATGGTGATAACAGAGAACGATTTTACCGATCCGACGACCGACCGACCGGACGCTCGACCCGTCCCGGAGCCACGCCGACACGCCGAACCCGCCCCTCCCCGCCTGGCCCCCTTTTATGGGGAGCATGATGTCACATGGTATGGAATAGCCCCGGCCAGCTTGGCTCACCTGTCCTGGCTCCTTGGGAAATTAACTCTATCCTTGCCAGAACCAGGACACACAGGAAAGGCAAAGTTTTGCCTGGAGCACTGTCCAGTTCTCCCTTTCTAGTTGTAGCCTTTATATTAGCTGTGTATTTGTCCTTTTTGTTCAGTTGTAGTGATGAACATATCATGTGAAGAACATGTTATAGCAGGATTTTTAATGTACATTACCTACCAGTGATTTCTATGGTAGGTTTGGCAAACCTCTTCATTGTCTGGTTACACTGAAGTTCTGTGATTATTTCCAATCACCCTGTTCCTTATGTTTTATGGTTCCCCAACTGAAGGATGCCTTCTTCATTTGAGACAGGTAAAATATATTCAGTTATACCAGTTATACCAGTGCCTTCTCAGACTGATCTGACTTGAATATGCTGGAAGACTGTAGAAAAACAGAATTTTTTGATGCCCTGGAAACAGACTGTTGTGAGGTAGAGGTTCTTGTATAGTCTTGCCCCTTTGGGGCTGGGTTTAACATAGCTTCCCCCACTATTACTCTGTGTAGGTTTACTGTTCCGTGGAGTCTGCCTCTTTTGGCTTCTTCTTGGGCAGCTTCCCTTGCCTGTACCACCAGGGCTTGTAGTCATATAGGAGTCTTTCTTCGTGTCTTTCCCATGCCAAGCTGCCTAAATTTCTAAGCTTCAGGGAGGAGAATGGAAAGGACAAATTTGGTGCAGGAATTCAGTGACAGCAAGGAAAGCATGGGTAGGGTGGGAGGTTTGAAGGATTCCCATGCAGGAGAAAGGTCTGTTTCGGTTGTATAACCCACATTCTAATTTACTATAATTGCTTTTTTTTAGAGTTGTCAGTTTCATCCCCCTGAGCAATTAGTTCTTACATAAAGTTGTTTGCACGTGGAAAATAAACAAAATGCAAGTTAACTGGTTTTTTGTAACTGCTCAAATTTGACCACCTACAGGCCTTTTCAGGTACAGTAAATGATAGTTGTCATGCTGTTGCCTTGAGGAAAGAGGTCCAGAGTGCCATGTTCTTCTATCTCCTTTTAATTTCTTGCCAGATTGTATGGCATCTATAATCTCACTGTTCTGTTGGTGTTATGTAACTTTATTTGCATAACACTGTAACATATTGTAACAGTATATTTAGTTTAACTTTTTCACTCATATTAAATTACTTAGAACAGGATTCCAGGCAAGTATTTGTTTATGGAATAAAATGTAAACTGATGCAGTGCATGCTTTACTACCTCACTATACAAACCGCTTATGTTTCCTGTTAAAAAAAACATTACACTTTTCACAGTATTCTCTTCCAGTTGTAAATGCATACCTATCACAGCATCTTGCTTTGTATTTCCAGTGAAAGCATTAATGTTTATTCCTCCGTTCTGAAAACTAAATAATACATGCAGCAAAACAAACACCTTTTAGCATTCTGTAGGTAATTATGTGAACTGTTGCCTTAGGGTATACCTGGAGATAATCAGGCTGTGGCTGAACCCCCTCAAGCAGCAAGCACTGGTGCCTCTCAGTCTTCAGCAGTGGCAGCAGCAGTAGCAACTATACCTACGACTACTAGTTCATTAGGAGGTAAGAAAGGTTATATTTGAAAGGATGTGATAAGTAAGTGTGGCACTGGTTTGGAATAAAGGGCATGTAAATGGATATATCTGGAATAAACCATGACATTTCTAAAAATGCTGTGAACTTGCACTGTTCCTTTGATTCAGTATTCTGGATTTAAATTTAAGACCAAAAATTGGTGGTTGTGTTTTCTCTCCCTTAAACTCTGACTTCCTGCTTCTGTGGCTAACTGTGCACTGTCAACTGTGACTATATTAATGCATTTACTGCTTGGAAGTTGGAATATCAAGGGAGAAACCTGCAATAAGGCTGTGAGGTGTAGCACCTGAGAGACCTATCCATGACCTAGGACTCCTCCTCACTAAGCAGTGCAGCACTGGACAGAGTTGTTGGTGCCTGCTGAAGGGAATTCTATCTTAAAGGGAAAGAAATACATGAAAGGAACATATTCAAAGAGTAGGAAAGGTCTGTTTTAGGCTGTGGCAGAGATGGTGTTCAAGATGTAAGCCTTGATTATAGGCCAGAGTGTTGAATGTATGGGTAGTAGTGACAGGCACACATGACATCATCCATAAAGAGAGAATGGGAAGAATGGTATCTTTCAGAGCACTTTAGACACTGCTGTGTTCAAGGCAGTACCTAACAGTATAGGATATATGGAAAGACAAGACTCACTTGAGAAGGACACAACTGACCTATTGCAGGGGGTAGAGAACTCTGTTGTAGGCATAGAATCATAGAATTGTAGAATGGTTTGG